TTTTTTTTTTTTTTTTTTTTTTATTATAAGAAAGGGGGGGGGGGGGGGAGTATTTCATGCCTCAGGTAATGGAAGGGCACACCCAGCTACATTGCCTTGACTCCCTTCTAGCAAATGGTGGGGGGCAGGGGAGGTGTTGCCTTCCAGCGGCTCTGAAATTATTCCCAGCTAAATCTTTTGCCTGGCTCACTTATGGGGTGCAGCTTGGATCATTTTCCAGCTTTGGCTCTTTGGAGCACGTCCAGCCCTGATTCCTCCAGGTGATGTTTCAGGCACCTTGTTGTGCTTCTCAAGGTCCCTGTGCCTGGAGTCGGGGGCGATGAAGGTCGAGGACAGATTCTGGCTCCTAATTTTTGCCTGTTAACTGAAACCACTTTTCCTGTGGGGAGAGGCCTTGGCCCCTGGATTCTGTCAGATCGTTCTAAGCATTTTGGGACAAGCTGTCTTGAAAACAAGCCCCAGATCTTCCAGAGATCTGCCTCTCGCCTTACCCTGTTGGTTTATTCGGGGCACAGGAGAGCTCTCCCCCTGGCCAAGTGGGGGGCTCTTCCTTTCGGGGGGCTCAAGGGGAGGGACAGAAAAGACCCCTCCCCAGAAGGACTGCACCCCTGTGGGAGAGGGAGGGGGAGGGGGAGGGGGAAATTACTCACTTGTCAACATTACAGCCACGTGCAAAGCACCTTTATCTCACCATGGCTAGCAGACTTCCCAAGAGTTTCTACGCATCTCTCCTGGTGTCTGATGGGAGCTCTGCTGTCGCTGGAATGTTGCACAATTTTTCTCCACAGCTGGTTTAGTATATTTCAAGTAGGAACATTTTATAGTAGTTAGGTTTGTCCATACCTTATTTATTTCTGCTAAGGTTTGGTTTGCCTATTATATATCTTTATAGACTTGATTCTCCTGTAATACTGTTTTTTCTATTTATTGTGTTAGACCTGATTCTATGATGATGGTTTTGTATGTTGCCTGTCTTCATCATAATAATTCATTTTTTTAGCGGTATTATTATTCTGTGCTGATCTTTGGCCATAACAAAGTTCCCTTTCAATTGGATTAGAAAAATCCAATCCAATAATTCATAACGTGGTGGCTTTAACAGAGAGGGATGTAGGTTCTGGTTGAATGTTTCAGTAAGAGCAGTTTGACCGGGGAACCCATTGTCCAGAGAGTTGGGGGCTCCCC